GATCTTGTCCGCAAGCGGACGGATGCCTTGCGGCGTCACATAGTGTCCCAAGTACTCCAGCTCCTGCTGTGCGAACTCGCACTTGTCGCGGTTTGCTTTGTCCTTGGCTTGTCGTAGCCGCTCCAAAACGGTGCGCAGGTGCTCCACATGCTCGTCCAAACTCCGACTATGCACCAAGATGTCGTGGAGGTAGATGAGTACAAACCGATCCAGCATGTGTCGAAACTCCGTTGTCATAGCCGCTTGGAAATTGGCTGGGGCATTCGTAAGGCCAAAYGGCATGACCAGCCATTCGAAATGCCCATACCGTGTCTTGAGCGCGGTCTTGTAGCGATCCTCCTTACGAATCTCGAGTTGGTGGTACCCTGACTTGAGATCCAGCTTAGGGAAGAATTGGGCGCCGCCCAATCGCTCGAGAAGATCGTTGATGCGTGGGAGAGGGCCGGCGTTCCTGATCGTCTGCGCGTTGAGCTTGCGAAAATCGATGCACAACCGCAGGTCCTTGTTCTTCTTCCGGACGAAAAGAACAGGAGCACCGTATGGCGATGAGCTAGGCCGAATCCAGCCTTTCTCTAGAAGGTCGTCGAGTTGTGCCCGAAGCACACTTAACTCTTCCTCGGTCATTCGGTAGATGCAACCGCGCGGAGGTACGGCCCCGTCCTCGAGGATGATCTCGTGGCGGATGGGTCGATCCGGTACTACTCCGTGCAGGCCTTCGAAATTGTCGCTGTAGGCTTCGAGAAGTTCGGTGATGCGTGGATCCGAAGGTGAGTCCGTCGATGAAGCGTCATGGGGCGGGAGGGCGTGGAGAAAACACACCCCCATCTCCTCGATGTCGTCTCTGATGATGGAAGCTCGCATGCTTGCGGCGGAAACCACGTGGTAGCTGATCGAAGGACGAGGAAGAGGCACCGTGCATGAAACTAGTACTCCGTTCCGGTCACGAACGTGAACGGTGCGGTTGAAGAAGTTCACTGGGTGATCCTTGCTTCGCAGCCATGACATGCCTAAGATCATGTCGAATTTGGTGTCCAGAATATCAAAGGACACCGCCTCACTTGCGTGAGGGGCAAAGTACACTGGGACGCTGTCAATGCACCGGTCGATAGACTTGTGCGTGTGACCGTCCGCCAATGTGACTTGCGTAGGCTGGGGCTTCCTCCGGACGCGTGGGCCAAGGCTGGCGCGCACCATGAAGTCCTGGCTGATGTAGTTGCGAGACGCTCCGCAATCGATGAAGGCACTGCAGGTCGCCTCTCCGATCTGAATGCGTACGTATAGCAATGGTGCGTCGATGTCGTCGTACCATTGCGTCTTGAACTCGTGGTCGATCTTCGCGATGTAAACGTGAAGGTCGACAACCTCTGCTCCGGCRTCCATCAACGGAGCTGGTACTGCAGTGTGCAAGTAGTCCCGCAATTGTGCCATAAGCACGTTGCAATGCGGTTTCGGCAATCGTCCGGTCGAGGGAACGGGCATCCACTGGAAGTCTGTGAACGTCAACGGGTCGAGCTCTTCAAGTCTTGACCATGACGTCGAATCCCCGACGATAGATTGCGGCGAAGCTGCCAAATCGGTTGCCGATGGTGATGAAACCGTGCATGCGGTGGACTGTTGCACGTGGAGCGGTTGGTCCAGCGGTGGAACCAAGTGGACAGCATTATCCTCGTAAGTATACCGAGGACTTGCGACATTCGCATCCTCCCCAAATGTGCAGGATGCCGCTAGCAAGGCGGCCGAATCTGGCGGAGTAGAAGGTTGAGTCGCCTCACCTTCCGCGGAGCTCAGTTTCCCGAGCTGAGGCGGGGTCGCACATCCTCCTTGCCCTGATCTTGGCACAGGGAGGTCTTGTGCTTGGTGCTGTTGCACCAGTAGCAGCTGCCGTAGCGGCTGCGGACCTTGTACTCCGCCTCGGTCAAGCCAAACTTGACCCATGAAAATTGTCCTGGTTGTCCATTTTCGGCCTGCGATGCGGATTTCGCCTTCCCATTGTTGCGGGACTTGTTGTTGCTTCGCGGCTGGACAACAGCCACCTGATCTCCGTCACTTGATGTTGGAGTGGCTGCTGGGTTATCTCCACTGTCCTGATGGACTGCAGCGAACTGTTGCTGTCGCAGACCAGTTCGTACCTTCTCCACATAGGTTGGTTGCCACGTGGACTTCTCGTGTGCAGCCGGCCTGTTAGTCTTGATGAGCTCTCTCGCCTTGTTGATGATCTCTGCGAAAGTGTTGTACTGCTCGCGATCACCCAGTGCGAGGCTGAGAGCGGCGCATGACCTGTTGTAGAACTCACGCCACAGATGCGGAAATGACAAGTCCAAATCGGGCGTTGCCACGATTTTCTGCCAATTCGTGAGCCAGTCACGCGTCGGTGTGCTCCCTTGAGCCATCGTGAAGATGCAGTTGACGGCGAGTGTCGGGGCGACGTCGACGATGAACCGCTTCTTCCATTCCTTTGTCATGTCCTCCCAGGAGACCTTCTTGTATAGGTCTGACACCTGGACGCCGTGGATGGTTGCCATGTGGCTGAGCCAGATCTGACAACCTCCCTTGGTGTTGATGAACAAAGCACTGATGAACAGATGGTCAGGGACTTCGTGAATCCCCAACTCCGTTGTAAATCCTTGCCACCAGATGACCGGGTCTTGATGTGTGTAGTAATCAAATTTCTCGATCCGGAACGTCGGCATCTTGTATGGCCTCGCTGAGCTGTTGTTGTGGCTGTGGTCTGTCTGCTGTTGCTGACTGATCTTGGAGTCCAACAACTCGAACCGCTGGCTGATGGTGGCCGGCTCTGTGAAGACACTTATGTCTCCTAGCATTGCCACTACGTGGTCAACGCGTTCCTCCAGTTGGCGGCTAGAGGATGCACTGCTGGAAGCCCCAGCAGCTGGTCCTGGTACAGCCTGTTCCAGGTCCAGTACACGGGCGTCCAGTGCCCGTGTGGCATCCTCGTGCTGAGTCTTCTGATTCCGCACGGCCCGCTGAAGGTGCCAGCTCGGACTGTAGGTGGTTACATGTGTAAACCAACCTGCTCACGAGCTTGGCCATGAACTCCTTATGATGCTCTTCCGGTGTTGGCTCGTCGCCGTTCGGTTCAAAGTGCCAGTACTTGAGTTTCTCGATGCTATTGGCTTCATGCCGCTGCAGCAGAGCCTGGGCTTCCTTGCGGCGAGCCTGGGCATCTGCGTGTGCTTCGGCCTGTAGCCGCAGCTTCTCTGCTGTTGCCGCTTCATCAGCCTGTAGCTGGGCAGCCTTGACTGCTAGCTGGCGTTGTTCCTCAGCCTCGATTGCAGTGAGCTGAGCATGGACGCGCTTTTTGTAGTCGGCAATGGGCTCATTGGCCAGTTGGCCTGGCAGGTCCGTCATGTTGCTGACGTGGCACTGCTGACGTGGCACTTTGTTTGATGTGGCACTGCTTACGTGGCACTGTCTGACGTGGCACTGTCTGACGTGGCACTGTCTGACGTGGCACTGCTGATGTGGCACTGCTTACGTGGCACTGTGTCTGATGTGGCACTGCTGATGTGGCACTGCCTACGTGGCACTGTGTCTGACATCACTGCTGACGTGGCACTGAGTCTGACGTGGCACTGTGACCTGGCACTGCTGATCTGGCACTGTGATGTGGCACTGCTGACGTGGCACTGCTGATCTGGCACTGTGATGTGGCGCTGCTGACGTGGCACTGTACCGAACCGGGATGCATGCAAGGGGTGGGTGGGAGGGAAAAGGTAGGTAGGTAACCAACCCAACAATACTTTCCTCCGGCCCTAATCAACAGATAAAATTAAAATAAAAAATAAAAAGAGGACTACTTCCTTTTTTTTTTTTTTTTGTATATATCTGTCGATTTATGATGAATAGGATATGTCAGAAGAGTATTATGAATGAGATCTAGGCTAGGTGCCGCAAAGTTTCCGCTTTTACAAACTGCGATCTTGAAAAACATTTTGCAAAATGGAGTAAAGATGCGATTTTCAGAAAAGAACGAAATCCAGTTTCTGAGAATATAGCAACCTCCGAATATGCCTAATGCAATATTGGTAGGCTTCGCAAGATTCGGTTTTCAAAAAAAATTTTGCGAGATAGAATGGAAATGCGATTTTCAGAAAATAATAATTTCAGTTTCCGAGAATATGACCACTTCTATCGTTATCCCAATATGCCTAGAGAACGAAAATACTAACTTCAGAAATTTCAGCTATGTATGCGAAATATCAGAGAAACGAAWTGCTACTATCGGGAATTTTCAGACAAAACGAAATGCGATTTATCAGAAATTTTCAGATATTTGTCACGTAAGAACGAACTACTAATATCAGAAATTTTCAGATAGAACGAAAATGCGAATATCAGAAATTTCAGATAGTTGTTGCGAGAAAACATTTTCAGAGATTTGACTAAGTCCTACTTGCGTTACTAATGGGTGATCAATAGATCGCAAGCTGGCTACTTGATTGAGCGGGTCCTCTGTATGAGAGGTCCGCTCCGATACCAAACTGTTGCATACTGTAACGTGCAGACCAGAACAAGAACCGACCTTTCAATACAAAGTATAAGATAGCACAACGGAAGACTTAGATACCAGTGATCCGAACAATCAATGTTGAAATGCAGCCCTGAACATACATCATCATCATCGTTACATGGTGTGAAATGGGCCTGGCGCTTCACACAGGAAGACTGCGCCAGCCCATACCATACACAGACGAAGAGGAAGGGGATAGACGAAGAGGGGGAAGATGGGAATGTCGTCAACACCAAGTCTTCGGCACAAGCCCAAATAGTCCCTCGTCGAAATGTCTGAATCCCAAATGTCAAGTGTGGATCCAATGTCGTCAAGTCTCAAGTCACAACTCTGTCTCTCTCTGTCGTAGTCTGAGAAGTCCGGTGGCGAGAGGGTGAGAAGAGAAGGTGGACTTAGAAGAGGAAGAAGAAGAACTCTCTCTCTCTCGGTGCCCAATACTTACCTGTGAAGTTGGCCCCCTTTGCAGGTACCACGAAGATGGAGCTGGAGCGATGGCGCCACAGGCAAGTAACACTGGCCTCCGCCAGTCTCTCTCCCACTTTACGATCTACCACCTACCAGCGCCCAGCGCTGAAGACTACAGCTACAGCTATGGCGCCCAGCGCCGAAGACTACAGCTAGCGCTACCACTACTAGCGCTGAAGACTACTGCAGCGCTCCTCCTGAGTGCTGCGGCCGAATCCTGAAGACTACTCGTGCCTACTGACCACTACCTACCCGTGAAGTGCATGGGAACTTCCTATGTACTACAGGTGTGCCTCCTGAGCCTGCCGAAGGGAGGCAGAGGCTGCAGCTGCAGCTCCTGCTCAACCTCGTGAGGAACAGGCTATTTCTGGCCTGTTCCGCATCCCTGTTTACGTGCCTGAGTCTTAGGGGCAGGTCGAAACAATGAGGGCCTGAAAATGGCCCTCCGTTTAAGGCTGAAAACTGTGGGTCTGAAAAGACCCAGAAATAGGCTGAAACGGGGTAGGGCCTGCAGGCCCTCGTTTTTCAGCATCCAGGCTGAAACGAACGGGGCCTGTAAGCCCTAAG